GTCAGATTTAATATCCTGTAATTAGAAATATATATTCAGAACACTCCAAATACACTTGTATTCACTTTTTTTCAAATTAGACTCAAATTAAACCTCCACATTCATCAAACCATTTGTCCAAATACATTCGCTCATCAATTAGCCCCATTTATACCTCAATGCACCTTTTAAAAACGTGCCGCAACCTCCTCCTATCCTTAAAAAAATGAATAAAAAAAAAAAATCGACAAGCATTCCGTAATTCAGTTCTATATTTTGAAAACTTGACTATCTGGACAATGACCTCTTAATCTATAAATAGGTTTCGCTTATTCGAACCGTGGTTTCTAAGTCAGTCAATGATTTTCGTTTATCCGGATAGTGGTCACAAAATCTATATTAAGTTTTTAATGAGCAGGGAAGTGGACTGTAAATAATTTTTTCCGCTTATTCGGATAATGATTTCCAAATCAGCGAAAGATTTTCACTTATCCGGACATTGGTCTCTCTATGTCAATAATTTTCGCTTATCCGGACAGTAATCTCAACACCGATAAGCATTTTCCTCTTTTGCGTTCTCTACATCTCGCTTATTCGCACAGTAACCTCCAAAGCAAAAGATTTACGCTTATCCGGACAGCTGTCTCTCCTGCAACGAATAATTTCCGGAAAGCGGTGATTGGTTCCCTTGCGTTTCCGTAAACCGAACTGCTTGTCTCGGCACAGCGGACCTTGACTCTGAGTATCCGATGTCTTTTTATTCGTGTTGCGTGTGGTTTGGTGGTTCGGCTGCTGTCTCGAACGGAGCGGAGAGAGAGAGAAGTCAGAGAAAGACTGATAATGAGAGGGATAGAGAGAGAGGCGAAGGGGAGAGGTAAGAGGGAGGGGTAAGAAGGGAATGAGGAAGGGAGAGAGAAGGGAGGGAAGATGGGAAGGAAGGAGAGAGAGAAAGAGGCACAAAGAAATATAAACAAAGGAAGTATTAGAGGGAGGTAGAGAGAGAAAAAAAAGAAAAGAGAGTGGGAGGAAGATAATGAAGGAAAAGGAGAGGGAAATAAAGAAGGGAGAGAAAAAAATATGAAGGAAAGAGAGAGAATAAGGAAGAAGAAAAGAGGAAAATTGAATAAAAAACGAAAGACAGAGGAAATAGCGGAAAGAAATAGTAAAACTCAGAAAGGAAAGAGAGAAGGAGAAAGAGAAAAAGAGGGAAGAGGTGGAGGAAGAAGAAATACAGAAGAGAGAGGGATAAGAAATGCTAGAAGAGAGATGGGTAAGAAATATTTTGGTTTTGTGGTTTATAAGGCGTCTGCCAGTTTCTCTACGACATAAGTGTCTTGGATAATGGTATAATGACGACGACGACGATGCACGACCATGACTATGACGACGATGATGATTACGATGACGATGACTGTGATGATGACGATGACAATGGTGATATATCTTAGTCTTTTCTCACGTAACAATATGATGACAATAATGGTTACGATAACAATACTGCCAATGATATCAATAACAGCAATAGCAGCAACACCAGCATATCTCACAGTTATTAATCATTTTTATAAAAGAAAAAATTATACGAAATGCTGCGCTCCATTTAATCTGTCCCGACTGTCAGTAAAGATAGATTACGTCTCGGGTCATTTGATACAGCGCACGTTTCGAAATCCGGGTCGACTTCAAAACAATATTCTGCCTTTGACACTCGCTGTTGCTACTGAGGAAATATTTATTGTTGTATTGGAGAGAGGAGGGAGGAGGCAGGGAAAGGAGGGAGGAGGGAGGGAAAGGAAGATGGGGGAGGGAAGGAAGATGGGGAGAGATAGGGAAAGGAGGGGAAAGAAGGATGGGGGGAGGGAGGAGAAGGGAGGGAGAGGAGGAGAGGGAGGAGGAGAGAGGGGAAAGGAGGAAAGGAGGGAGTGAAGGGAGGGGAAGGAGGAAGGAGGGAGAAGGGAGGAGAGAGAGAGAGAGAGAGAGAGAGACAGGGAGGAGGGAGAGAAGGTGGGGAAAGATAAGAAGGTAAGAAGGTGGGAAAAGGTATAGAAGGGAGAAGGGGTAGGAAGGGAGGAAGGAAGGAAGGAGAAAAGGGGCGAAGAGATGAAGGGAGGAGGGGATCGGCAGAGAGGAATCTTGCGGTAGAAACAGAGGGAAGAAGAAAGGAATCGTAGGTGGATGGATAGATAGACGGACGGATGAGTGAATGAATTAATCGACAGATGGATAGAGAGATTGTGTAACAGAGAGAGAACAAGAAGCAGATGTTACAGCAGGTGCGGCAAAACAAGTGCATAGGAAACGCCACATGAATCTACCTTCGCAAAGCAAACTCGACCCTGTCCAGCGTCAGTGCCAATCATAATGATAAATTCGGCAATGGTAAACGCGCTAATGATGCTCGTACTACTACTGCACCATTGCAATGAGATTATAATCAGTATTCTAATGGTTGCAACGAAAAAATGTTAAAATCATACCAATGTCACAAATAATATTGATAATAACAATAATGATAATGATGATGCTAATACCAACAATAATAATAATAATGATGATGAATAATGATAATCATGATATTATTATCATCATCAGTATGATTATTGGTGGTGGTGGTGCTGATGATGATGCTCATGATGATCTTCATCATGATCATAATTATCATAATAATAATGATAAGATAATAATCATAATAATGACAGTCAGTCACAGTCATAATTGTAATTCTAATAATCCTAATAATAATGATGATTATGATGATAACAGCAACAATAATAAAATTATAGTAGCGATGATAATAACGAAAATATCAATAAAAATAATAATGATAATGATCATGATGGTGGCAATCAGTAACAAAAAATAGCGATTACAATACTACTACTAATCATCATGACGGTTATAATAATTTGGAATATGAAAGTTCAGAATTTCTGACGATAATGACAACAGGAAAATAATGATAACAACCGTAGTTAGCAGTAATTTCCAACTTCATCATAATGACCGAACTGTCAACACAACACCGCTTATCTCACTATCTCTATCTCCGTGCGTAAACAACAACCAACGTCATCACACACAAACATACATACGCACACACACACACCTCGGCCGGTATGAATACACAATCCGTCCACCATTATCTCGCATAACAAAACTCCAAAGACTATGTAAATAACAAGTCATCGCAAGCCATTCAGAGGGTCCCTTTTAATCGTCAGTCACAAGCAACTTTTCTCGGATCGTCTTTGGAAAGGCTAAAATGTCCAGACCCGGAATCCTACGTAGGTTCGCTTCGGACGACACGGAGAAGACTGATGCACAGGTGAGCACGTTTATTGTCCTGGGCTCGGGTGCCGGATAGGTTTTTTTCATTATTATTTTGGTGAAGCGGGGGTGGATGTGGTATTTATGGTTATTATATTTTTCAGGGTATGCCTTTTCCTTGTTGGAATGTATAAGGTTGTAATTATATATCTCTTTCTCTGTCATTCTCTGATGTGGATATATTTGTTACCAAAAAAAAAAAAAAAAAAAAAAAAATCAGCTATTTATCTGTTTGATACTTTTTTTATGAATCATCAGTGATGTACATTTATACATTAATTTTATCTTATTCTTTGTTTTGCTTATATTATTTCGCCTGGAGCATTTATCAGGATTTATGTGGTGGAAATGACGTTTAAAAGGGATTCAAAAGGCGACACAGGAAACGAGGATAAACAATTAATTCTCAATAACAAAAAGAAAGAGTTCATGGATTTATTATATATTTTCACCTCCCTCCCCCACCCCCACCCCCGTCCCTCTACGTAGCGTATCGGGACACCCAAAACTCACCCTATCATAATGTCTCTTTTATTACAAGTTCAAGGTTACGATTCATCATTATTCCAACCCATCCACATTCTTCACTTTTTCGTCCTATTTTAACAATTTTATTCCCCGTCTCCTTCCTCCTCCTCCTCCTTCATTTTCCCTCTTACTTTTCCTCCTTCCCTCTTTCCTCCATCGCTTCAAGGGTCTTCCACGCAGCCACCTGCTGATACCAGACTCTCCATCTTTTTAAATGCTTCAAAATCATTCACATCCCACGTTTTCCTATTTAAAAAGCCCTTCCCTACCACCTGCTTGCTCTTATATTCATTTTGTTAAATGCAAAGAGCGAAGTGCAAAGTATTCTTTCGTCGTTTGGTAATTGTGAATGCGTGGGTTAAAAAATATCGCTATAATTCATCCATGGAAACTCTTCGTTGTACAGTCTTCCTGGAACGTACAACGGAGCAGGACAAACCGCCCGTATGCTGTCCATATAACGAACCGTACTTTTTGTTTTTTGTTTTTTTCTTACTTCAGACACGTTTTAGAATACGAATTCCAGGTAGTTATGCAGCCCTTACTAGGGATTTTAGACTATGTATTTCTGACTTTAATGCCAAGTTTCATAAAGATCTAAGGCCGTGTATTGTTGATATTGCGTGCTGAGGATTTGTAGTGCGGAAAATTTCAATGCAATGCCCGGTCAGTGTAATTTCTTCCGTATCCCTAACTACACCGAAGCTCTATTCCGTTGATGAGCGAGCGATGGTAGACCGCAAAATGGACGTGAATGGTTATCCGCTGGTAATTAATGGTCATTTTGGCTCGTCCCATTTTCTTTCCCTCTCTCCTCCTCTCTCATTCTATCTCTCTCTCTCTCAGGCTCTATTTCCTTGTTTCTATCCATCGGTTGGTTTTCTGTCTACTTATCTGTCTGTCTGCCTATCTGTCATTCTCTCTTTCTTTCTCTCTCTCGCTCTCCCATTCTCTCTCTCTCTCTCTCTCTCTCTCTCTCTCTCTCTCTCTCTCTCTCTCTCTCTCTCTCTCTCTCTCTCTCTCTCTCTCTCTTTAAAGTATATATACATACACACATATATACATATATACATATACACACACTCATACATACATCCCCCCTCTTCCTTATCTATTTTCTCTCTCTCTTACTCTTCTCTCTTCCCACGCCCTCCCTCCTCTCACAC